AGTCAGGATCGGGTGACCCGTGATCGTACCTAACCCTAGCAATACCGATACAAGGGGTGTTGGTCGTCACCATGACAATATCAACCTTAATGCTCCATATTTCATTAATGTTGTCATGGCCAACAATATCCATTAGTTAATATATAGTCACTTGTAAGTCATCAGCATCTTCAATTTCAGATAGGATAGTATCAAAATTATTATTGAGTAGAATATCTGATTCACTGACCAAATATGCAGAATAATAGAATGACTGATTAATTTTGTCACATTGCATATTTATAATTATTGAACTCAAAAATTTTGCAACATTTATCCACCTTAGTGAACAAGAAGTTCACCTGTTCAAGATTTCTAACTAATAGTATAACAAGTTTCTAGTATTGATATTAGTTTTTTTTATCTTGCTGGTCAAGTAATCTATATATCTCTGATATTAAGTCACAAAGAAAAATGCTAGAATTATAAAGTAACCTTTTGAAACATGCATTTGTTGCTTCAACTAGTGACTTTGAAATTATTCCCCCAGTAAATTTAAAAGAAGTGTATGAATAGGCCCAATATTCTTTTGACTGATATAAAGTCTCAAATAACACTTTCCTTTTGGATACTTATCAAAGAGCTTTGCAAAATGCTTATGAAATATATCCTGAACAAGGCTATTCCTACATTGATAAAAATCATTAAAAAACTCCCCATACTGATCACCTAACAACTTTCTAAGGTTTTTATTAAAATTTTGTGTTATGTAAAATGCATAATGTATCGGATAAATATCTGGAAATATTTCTTTAATTGCAGCATCCACTGCTAGATCAGAATCAGTTAAAATTACATTTGGATATATATGGGTGGCCTCAACAATATATCTAAAAATCCAAACATAGGAAGATCTACTTTCATCTAAAAGTAGACCTTGTGCAAGTATAACATTTTATCAGTTTTTATCAAATTTTATAAAAAATGACAAAGCCATTCTGTAACGATTCATCTTATGTATAACATTATTAAAAACACAATTACTAAATTTAATCCAATTTTCTACTTGGTTAAGTGTCATCTATGTTAAATAGGTAAATGCATTATCTTCATCCCACCCTCTGGTTATAACCCTTCTCCTTCTGTAAATCTAATCAATCTGAAATTTGTGCAGAATTATTTAAAAGAGACTTAGTTGTGGGACGAAATTTTTTAATCACAGCATATAAGTCCTTGCTTATATTTAATGAGTTGGGTACGTTCCTTCTAAGTATTTCATTTGCGCAGTGGCACCAAATTTACAATGCTGTGTTAAAAATTTGATATCTTCTATCATCTCTGTGCTAAATTTTTTGTCAAATTCAAATGCAATAGCATCAATGTTAAGGGGATGGTTATGCTTATCAACTATCTTATTAATAAAAACAATAGAGTTTGAGTTCTTTATTTTAGGACAAGATACGTTTATGTGCCATGAGCACAACATTTTCTTGATGCTGGTTTCTTTTATAGAGCTTGACTCATAATTATGTCCATGTTCACAAATATACATTCTTCTCCTAATAACACCTTTGTCTTGATAAACACAATCTTTAATGACATTAAATCCCCTTTTACTTCTCCACTCAGTTAAAAAAGCATTATAAGTCTCCCAGTTTATTAGAGTCTTCCCTGTAAATAAACTTTTGACATCACTCTCATCATTAGTTAGCACAGTATGATCTGCTTCGTGATGTTCCAAATTGTCTTGTTCTTCCATTTCGCAGGTAAAAGTGTAACTTATCTCACTTACCTTACTAATACTTTATATAGAGGGTAGGATAGTATAAAGAGCGTCATAATTATGTCATAGACTTGGTAGTTATTTGCTTTAGTGATAAACTATATAGCTTATAATGTCATCGTTTATTATAGTCGCGTGATTAAAAAATATAATTATAAGTTGACGCGTAGTGTGTAATCAAATGGATTGGCAAACTGCGTGATTTAGATCAGACAAATAATAAATATAGAAATATGTTACACGAATACGGGGTAGCATTGCATCGCATAGGCGATAAATGATTATCCTTTTATAATTAAACTTAACTACCGTTATGATAGTTTTTTGAACAAAAAAAAATATTTTTACTCGAAAAGAGACCATAATATTATGCATGTATAAATTTATTGATAAATTTTCACCGATTGAGAAATAAAGTAATTCTTTTTCAAATTTACAAATGGTCTACTAAAAACGAAGCAGAACATGGATATATCATATAGCACTCTTAAATTTAAGTGTTGTGCAATAACCTTGATGAATTACTTTAAAGATTTAGACTAAAACTCAGAAACTCTGAAATATTTACCCGGCTAGCCTTTGCTATAGGCAGGGTATAATCACTAGTTCTATTAGGATGTGCGTTAATTCGAGCACGTATGCTATTTTTAAAGAACGACAATATTTTATGCTTATACAGAGGAGTAGAATTTCTCACTGAATCAATTAAAACTTGTAAATCTGGACGTTTATATGGGCACTAGCTCGTTGTTGCTCACTTTCTCGAAGTCCAATTTTCGAAATACTATATCTCTGACTCCATAATGTAATTCAAATATCCCTTCTTTTCAACAAGGTCAATTCCAACAACTTAGTTCACCGACAGTTTATTTTACCAATAGTTTATTTCATTGACAGTCATTTACAGAAAAGTAAATTTTTGTCATTAAGGGCTAGCGCAATTTTGTCTATGAAGTAATTATCGGCGAAATAAACTTCCGGTGAATTAATTGTCGGTGAAATGACACGGCCAATTATGCCATTTCAGAAAAATGGACTTTAGAAAGTTAGTCCTTAACCTTAAGGTTGTAAGGAGTACTCCAGACT